AAATTATGACAGCAATAAGGCATATATAATAACATAAAATAGAACATATAATATTTAAAGTTTGATAAAATGCAAAGATTCCAAATTCCATAAATATGATACATTACTGAGACTAATAATAAGATATTATAAATGATGTTAGTGCTTTAATGATATTTTAATATTAAACATAAAAGGGATTATGTGAAACACAATCATAAATTCCAGCAAATGTAAGACATAGTAGTTGTGCTGTAAGGCAGCCTCCAGACACAGCTGGGGAATATGCACTATAGTTACCCCATCTTCCACATTCTTCTCTCATTTAGTGGTCGATTTTAAAATTGTACAAGTTGTATTCTGAACCTAAATATGAACTCCCTCAGGGTTTTTTTTTTTTTTCCTTACACCATGGGGATTCTATCACAATTCCTGCCCATGGGAATCTGGGGCACCTAGAAACTATTTAATTGAGCTCATTTGGAAAAACTATAAGCCATGAGAAGGAAAAATTGCTCAGGACAAGGAGGTGCTCATTTTGATCCACACAATCCTGGTGAGGTAAACGAGTACAAACTGATTGTCTCTGTGCCAAGATCTGCCTGCTCCACAGTCACATGACAGGTTTCACGGTTCAACTCATTTCAGCCTGGCTCTGAAAAACAGATCTGTGGAAGATTCCTTGAGACAACTGATCTCATTTGGGTTTATGGCTCCTGAATACATTGCTTGCATCTTGCAAACAGTGGCATCTCTAGTACTATAGGCTAAGACTGGGCAGCATTTTCCTTAGGAGTAAGTTGGTACATCGTTTTTTCTTCATACCTCAGTATATCTGAGGCAGATGGATAAAGGAAAGTTTGCAATGAGGGAGATGTGCTAGTTTATAGGCTAAGAAAACTTTAACATGTATGATATTTAGGAATGTTTCATTGTGCTCAAAGTAGTCCATATTATAAAAACTTTACATAAGAATGGATGGTATGTTAGTCCATATTATATAATTTTAAGGTATAAATGGATGATATGGTAATGTTTTATATAAGAATGGGTGGTATGAGTCATGTAACTGTTACAAATTCATATTAATTGGCTACAATTCACATTCCCCAAATTCACACTAGGGTAGGACTGGGCAAACTAACTGAGTATTCTATGTTTGATTTTTCTCTGTCTCATAAACATCAGCTGCCTCAGGACTCATGAAAGGACCACGTGGGATAATGCCTGCAATGTAAACAACAAAATAGAAGATCAATTTGGATTGGCTTAAATTATTTAATTTTAAACGAGGGATTGCAGATGTAAAAGTCATTGAAAAGGAATTATAAACCATTTATTTCATTGCCCAAAATGGTATGTAAAATTTTTCTTCTTGCCTCACTTTCTCTATTACACAACCAGAAAAATAATGAGTAGAATAGAGCTCACTTTTGTTGAAGACAAAACTTAAACAAGGCTAAAAATTTAACATTATCATCATGAAACTGTTACTGCAATTTACATAGAAATAATTTACCAGAAAATAATCATATTCCTTCTACTTGAAACATAGGAAATACATGAAAAGGTATCATTTCTATGTGGGATGAATGTGCAATAGAATAAAGAAGAAAGATATAAAGAAATACAACGTTCAAAACACTGATGATAGATAAATTTTTGATAATACATAGACACCAAAAAAGTGGCAGTGATAGTTTAATTTAACTAGGAGCATAATGCCATAAAATTGGACAGATAAGAGATTCAGTAAAAGTAAAAGTTTTCCAAAGATTGATAGGTTTTTGAAAATACCGTGAAGAATGAAGACAGCTTTCATAGATTGAGAAAGCAACCAACTTGCTAGAGCAAGAAGTGTGGAAAATGTATTTCAAATGATTATAAAAGTCACTTAGCATGTATTGCATTAGACATATGAGAGCAGGATTTGCTTGTAATTTCCTAGGTTTTTCTTTTCATACAGCTGCAACTCTGTATTATTTACTCACCTTGAATACTACAGGGAATTCATTAATCGTTGAATAGATCACTAATGTTATACAAAGTGAAGTCATAGCAATAAAGCTAAACCATGTACTGTCTGTACTCCTTCCCATCCATCCCTCACTTGAGCTCTCCAAACCTGGTTATGGATCTCTTTAGATCTTTTCACATTTATTTATAATTGCACTTCCATTCTATACTGTATGAGTCATTTGTGCACATATTCATATTAATGTGAAAAATGACAATGTTACATTATATTTGAATATCTGCGATTAAATTCACAGAAATGCATGGTACTTTTTAAAAATATTTTGAGAATATGATTGTAGATATGCTTATAATTTTAAAATTTAGTATTATTTTCTTATTGGAGTTTTCAACAATTCAATTTTATGCAATTCAAAAGTGTTTCACAAAAGGAGACATTACTTTTTCACAAGTTTATATGTGAAACTTTTTCTAGGGATGAGAAGTAGTTAAATAATTCACTTTAAAGTACTAATTTGATATTTTTAGTAGTAATGTGTACTACCTTATTTTACCCTAAAACTTACTTCAATCATCTATTACTTTTTTCTTTTTATAAAAATAAAACATACTTATATAACCAAATAATAGAATAATATTTTTCATGGTGTCTCTCATTATTTTCAATGTAGTTCCTCAGTATGAAATAGAAAACAAAATGATTCTTACCAAAATAAAAATAGATAAAAGCACAAACTTTTTCAACAAAATGCTGCTAGTAGTTCTCAAATGTTCCTCTTAATCCAAATGTTACATCAACATTGTATTTCTGTTGTCTAATAATGTACTCTATCTTTAGTATCCTATTCATATTAATTTTAAATTTCCACATTATAAGTAACAGAAAAGTCTTTTTAGTGATTGTATATCTTCATCCACTTTACTCTTAATTTTTCTACATGTGACCTGTTCAAATAGTTTGTACTGGGATAATATATTCATAGTTGCTGAGATAAAAAGTAAACAGAAAAACAGGTGGGTAAAGTGTGAAGAATAGGGGAATGTTAAAGAAAACCATGACTTATTCAAATGATGGAAAGATTTATTTTAAGACAAACAAGGGAAGGTTTATAAAAGACAAGAGCTTAGAATGCTAACATAACCTTGATTACACAGAAGTGTAAGACTGACTGAGCATTGTTATATTAATTTTCCTTCTGTGGGGCTTTTGGGAATGGCTAATTATGAAGAGAAAAGCTTATATTTAGAGTAACTTTTTAAGAGATATGAAATGGGACATTCATTCACTGTTAATAATCAAATATTGGGGGAAGCATTTTTTCCACTCTATATTAAACATAATTTTATGGTCACCCACACAGACGATCACACAATTAGGGGACTTCATCACTTTAATTAATTGTGAGGAATCATCAATCAGCATCTGTGCTAAAAACTAAGTCTAACACTGACATTTGTTTAACAATCTGCTGATTACTAAACATTCCTGAATCAAAAGTAAGCCTTCCTGAATCAAAAGTAAGGGTAAAATTTATATGTGTTAGTATATAAAATGTTCATAGGAAATCAGCTGATTTAGTGAGTGTCAACTTTAGAAATATTAACTGTTACCACACAACTTTCCAGTAATCAAGTTTACCTAAATTCTCATATTGTCCGGTAAGTGTCATGATTCAGAAATGACATTCCCCTGGCCTTCAAAAGCTACCTTGATGAATATACTCAGCTATTTTCATGCTCAAGAGAGAATATCCATCTCTTGGGACTCTGTATTGAAACAGTAAAACTAAGCAGAAAGTTTGGTGTGAATATCAAATCAGGGTAAGAAGCTATGTTTTAAATAATTACAACTATTTCAAAGGCCAGTGTGCAATACATAGTTCAGTCCTTTCTCATTGGGCACTGACTTAAGCCTTATTATTCATGCTCATAAAGTTATATAATATACACTTATTTTTTCACAGTAAATAAAATGGTTCAGAAACAATTTATACAATGTACTAAAAGTGAAGAAAAGATGAATAACAAACTTTTAGGCAATCTATATGATAATCAAAACAATACTAAAGAGAGCCAGTATAGCAAGTATATCGCAGTATTGGAATGAGTGCAGAAATAAAACAACAGGAAATTTGAGGAACAGAGGAAAACCTATGAATTGCATTTGAAAGAGTAAATGTGTTTATAGTGAGTCAGACTAAAACCAGTGTTTTGAATAATTAGAATAATGACAAGAGGTGATGAAGCTTATATGACAACATAAAATGAGAAGGTGAAATAATACTCGATGATATCAGGGGAAATGCAAATTTTGGGGCCGCAGAGCATCTTTAAAAATAAAGTGACTTATTTCTTAACAAACTGTGCTAAGCACATCCTTGTTACCATACTTAAATATGTCTTATGGAAATGTGAATAAGCCTTGTGAATCCACAAACATTGAAAACTGTTATTTTTCCTTGGTGAAAACCACATTCTGTTGTATAGTATATGCAAAATATATAGGCCAACTTCTAAAAGCATCAGTTCTCTGTGGAAAACCTGCTTCTTTAAAGTTCAATTGGTATGACATTTTTCTCAATGAACGATAATAAATTTTTCATAGCTGTGACTCTGGATGTGGTATATAAATCTTAACCTTATTTAGCATCTATAATTTAGTGAAACTGCGTATTAAAAATTCATAATCAATAAAACCTGTGAATGTTAATAAAATGAGAACACTTGCTAAGAGTACGTTTACAGGGTTAGGAGGTTCATATAATCCAATGCATCTAAAAAAGAACAAAATATTTTGTATCGCTTCATTCAGACATCCTCTGAGTTTTTATATGCTGACATTTTTAAAATAGGATAACCGTGTCTAAATACTTGATGGTGAAATGATGAGACATTTTCTATGTAGGTGTTTATATTTAATGTATTTGTCCCATGACTCACAGTAAATTATATTTTTTCTTTCACTTTGAAAATTTCAAAACTTACAAACTATTGTTCCATGTGCTACAGAGGAAGCATCCAAGAGGAGAAAACTAAAACTTGTGATGTCAGTCTACAATAAAACCGACGTCCATTCAATAACCTTCATTCTCACTGGCATTCCGGGTTTGGAGGCTGCGCACATCTGGATCTCCATTCCATTTGGTGTAGTCTATCTTTTAGACTTATTGGGGAACTCTTCCCTTCTCTTTATCATCACGACAGACCCCAGCCTCCACAAGCCAATGTATCTGTTCCTCTGCATGCTGGCAGTGGCTGACCTTGTTGTGTGCACTACAGCTGTCCCCAAGCTTCTCAGCCTCTTCTGGTTTCAGGATGGAGAGATTTGCTTGGAAGCCTGCCTCACCCAAGTGTTCCTGATTCACTCTTGCTCCACCATGGAGTCTGGCTTCCTCCTGGCTATGGCTTTTGACCGTTATGTAGCCATATGCAATCCATTAAGACACTCAGCTATTCTCACATACCCTGTAATTGGTGGATTGGGACTAGCTATCGTACTCCGAGGCACAGCACTTCTCAGTCCTCATCCTTTCCTGTTGCGCTGGCTTTCCTACTGCAGAACCAACATAATTTCCCACACCTACTGCGAGTTCATGGCCCTGATCAAGCTTGCCTGTGCTGATACAAAATTCCACAGAGCCTACAGCCTCATTGTTGCCTTCATCACTGGCGGGGTGGACTTCATACTGATCCTTTGTTCCTATGTCCTCATTCTCCACACTGTCTTCCACCTCCCTTCCAAGGATGCCAGGCTCAAGACCTTGGGCACCTGTGTCTCCCATTTCTGTGTCATTTTAGTGTTCTACACTCCGGCCTTCTTCTCTTTTCTCACACACAGATTTGGGCATCGAGTAGCTCCCTGTGTCCATATATTTGTGGCCAATATCTATCTTCTTGTTCCACCCATGGTGAATCCCATTATTTATGGAATAAGGACAAAGAGAATAAGAGACAGATTTATGCGATTTTTGTCTTTTTCAGGCCCCATAAGGAAAGTAAATCGAAACCTTAAAGACATGGGGTAGGCAAAGAGTTCCTTAACAAAATGCACAAAATCCGCACTGCATGGGAAGTACTTCAAAAAATCAACAACTTCATCTCATCTAATTAAAAAATGTTGTGCACTAAAATAAATCACCAAGCAAGCGAAAAGAAAACCCACAGACTGGTAAAAAATTTTCAACAACTATCCTCAGAAAAAGGGTTTTTGTCTGTAACATATAAAGTTATGAAAAAAAAAAAAAAGATATCCCTGAAATTCAAAGATCCAATCCAATTATGAGCATTTGAGATGAATACACACTTCTCAGTGAAGAAAACAAATGGCAAATGAATACATGAAAAATGTTCAGCATCACTGGTAATTCAGTAAACACAAAATAAAACAAAACTGAGATTCTATCTCACATTAAAGAATGGCTGTCATCTAGAAATGAACCAATAACGCATGCTGACGGGCTGTGGGGAAAGGGAAACATTTCTCCCCTGTTGTTGGAAGTGTAGAACGGTACAACCACTGTGGAAATCAGTGTGTGGGTTCCTCAAACAACTAGGATTGTAGGTCCCATTCAGTCTAGCTGTTCTCTTGGGTATTTTCCCATAAGTGAAAGCATCATACCACTGCAATATTTTTGCACCCATGTTTATAGCAACAGAATTTGAAATAGCTAAATCTTGGAAACAATCCTAATGCACATCAATCATGGCATGGATATTTTATATATGTGATATTTTTATATTATGGAGTAATACTCAACTAAAAAGAAGGAGGGACTTGAGGCTTTTATAGATAAATTTATGCAACTTGAGACCATACTCCTAAGTGAAATAAATCAGACTAGCATGTGTAAAAACCGTATTGTCCCTCTTGTGTAAAAAACTGGAAGAGTAAATAAGATCCAAGAAATACATTAGATACTGTGAAAGGGAAAGGGGGAAAAAAAGCTTCTGAAATGTAGACAGCAACTTGGATGTGGCAATGAGAAAAGATAACACATATACACTTATAGAACATACTTAGCAACTATATTTATATTCATATGCATGCACATATAAGAGATGGTGACTGTACTGCTAATCTCTGTTAGTTCATCAAAAAAGAACAGTTTGTGCTTTCATTATTCTATTCAATTCAATATCCAAAAGGGACCTCTCATCCTTGACTGTGAGGACTCTCCACATTGAGGAATGGTAGTTACACTAGTCTACACTCCCAACACCAGTGGAGAATTGTATTTTTTTTTTCCCTACAGTTCCAACTAGGTTTTTTTTTTTTGTTTTTTGTTTTTTTTTTTTTTTTTTTGTAGATTTATTGATAGTAGCTACTTTTCTTTTTTTTTTTAATTTTATTTAAGGAGAAAAGAAAAAAAAAGCAGGGAAAGGGTACAAGTTATACAGATTTACAGAAAAAAAAATGAAGAGTAGGAAATCACTAGTTAATGGATTACATATTGTCATCTTAGAAATAATTGTTCAAGTCACAAAATTAAAGCTTGTAAAGTGGACATTCCATCAATGATACTGCAAACAGTTCTGTTCATTGATCCAATAAAACTCTGTGATATCATTTTCTATCTTATACACTTAAATATAGATGCAGTTATATAGTTTGGAGCACTTTCTTTTCCTCTCTTTTGTACCATGACTATTACACATTTTGGGTTTCATTGCTCCCTCGGTTCTTATTACTTTTTTGGAAGAGAGTAAAACCAAATGTGACATAACAGAACAGAATCTGTCAAGTCAAAAGGGTGGACATTATAGATAATGTAAAAACATAATACAAGGTGATCAACAATGGTTACCATAATGCCTCCTGCTATCTCTAATAGAATTTCCTATATCATTAGTTATAATACAATTGAACAAAACAGTAAAGAATAAAACTGACAAAACCAAAACATTGGAGACATTGTAGGTCTTCAAAAGTAGATAAAAGTCAACAAGAATGGGCGTCATAATGCATCTCATTATCTTCACAGCTGATGCCTAAACTTTCGAACCTGATACTATCCAGCAAAACAGAATAGGGGAACATCAGTTAAAAACCAGATGGTGAGAGTAATACAGGGCTTTAAATCAAGGTAATGAAAAGTCAAAGTGGGTTACTATAATATATCCTGCTATTTTTTTCTTTAATTAAAAGGATAAAGATAAAAAAGTAAATAATGGAGTGGAGATTGAGATAAAAGAGGGTATAACAACGAAACAGCGCAGATCAAAACATAACCATTTAAGCAGAATAGTGTTTCACCACCAGATAATCCTAACCTAAAAGTAGTTACCATATTGTTTCTTTCTTTGAAATCCTTGAGTACAACTTCATATACTGTAGCATTAAGTATATCAAAACAATGTAAAACCATTCAAGAGAATGACAGCATTACAGAGTATTTAGAATCGACTAACAGAAAATGAACAATGGTTTCTGTATAATCTCCTTGTCTTTAAAAGGTTTTTGCTTATACTATCATACATAATAAAATCCAATAAGATACAGCCTATTTAGACCATTGGAGACAGAAGGACGTAAGCTAGATGAGACTTCAAAACAAGATGATACTAAATCAGTATTACCTATTGAGATGTCATTTTCTCCAAAATAGCTGTTCCTATCATCCAATCTTCTCTGCCTCATTTCTGTTAAGCTCTTTTTCTGTCAGTAGCTGTCAGTTTGTCTTCTTCATTTTGTTCTCTGCTCCATTCGCTGTGGCCTCTCTGCCATTATTTCTGGATTCTTTGTATTTTTCTTTATTTAGAATATCCTGCAATACTCTCTGTAGAGTTGAATTGGTGGTTGCAAATTCCCCCAGTTCCTCTTTATCCTGGAAGCACCTTGTTTTTCCATCAATTTCCAGGGACAGTTGTGCAGGATATCTCAATCTTGGCTGGAGATTATTATCTTTCAAAGCTTGAATTATTTCCCCCCACACTCTTCGTGATTTGATGGTTTGTGCAGAGAAATCTGCTGTAATTCTGATGGGTGTTCCCTTGTAAGTGGTCTGTTTCTTGTCTCTTACAGCTTTTAATATTCTGTTCTTGTATTGAATTTCTGGAATTTTTATTATTATATGCCTGGGTGTTGCTCTGTTTGGGTTGTAGGTAGCTGGGGTCCTGTATGCCTCATACATCTGAGTATCTTTACCCTTTGCTAAATTAGGAAAATTCTCCTGGATTATTTCTGTGAGTAGCTTTTGTAGTTCACTTGTTTGTGTCCCTACTTCTTCTTTTATGTTCTTAATCCTTAAGTTATGGATCCTCTTATCATCTTCTTGTCTTTGTATTATTGCTGTTTGTTTCTTTGTTATTTTTAAGAAGTTTTTCATTTCATTCTCCCATATTACAAGTCTGCCCTCCAGTTCAGATAGTCTGTCCTTAGTTTCTTTCAAGCTGTTATGCCAGTCTTCTATAGACTTCTTAGTATCTTGGTAGTCCCTTTGAACCTGCTTCATGTATTCTATGCTTTCTCTGTTTTCTCCATCCAACAATTCTCCCCTTTTTTTCTGTTCTTCCATTCCACCACCTGTTTTTTCTTGGGTGGTACTTAGCATTTCTCTAACTATTCTGCATACTTCTAGCTTCAGGTCATTGATAACTTCATTCCTGAATTGGTCTATGAGGCTCTCTATATGGTGCCTTATGTGTATTGGTGCGGTGTCTGCTATTGCCTGTTTCTCAGAATTGGTGGCCGAGGAGCCTTTCTTGTTGCTGCCTCTTCCCATTCTGCCTCTTCTTCTCTGTTCCTTATATATGAAAGCTTATATAAGAGGCCCAGCTTCTCTCCCAGTCAGCCACAGCCTGATCGAATTGCGCCAGCTAGGTGTTCCCGCTCACCGCTGCGCACCAGGGAGTTAAGGAACAGGCAGCCTACGCGTCTCCCCTCCCGGCCACCGTCAGGCTCTGGGATCTGGGTTGGGACAGTCTACCAGGTCCGCCGGCAGCGTCACGCAGGCCAGGCACTTTTCACCAATCCCATCCGAGAGGGGGATGTGTGGCAGGAGTCGCCACCGTGCCCTGCTCCCGCAGGACTGCTCGGGCCCAGAAAGTCCTCTGCTGGAGTCAAACTGTGGTAGAGTGTCAGTTTCTCTCACTCACTCACCTCACCACAAGTCAGTGCATGCCTACCTGCCGTTCGCAGATTGCCGTTCTCAGAGCTTCTGCGCGTCTCTTTCCTTGCCGAGCCGCTGTAGAGGCAGCCAGCCGCCGCGCGGCGGGAAACCCAAATCGCGGCTTACAATGGCGCGGTTCTAGCCTCCACACCGAGTCTTTTCGGTTCCTGTTTTAGCACCAGGACTGCATTCCAAGTTGGCTTCTCTCAGCCCAGTTCGTTCCTGAGTCAGCAGAGCATATCTCCACCTGCTTATGTCTCCTTAGTCCGCACCATTCCTGGCTTCTGAGCCGAGTCTTTCAGAGAGCCTCCGGTAGTTGCTGTTATCTGTCCGCCATGTTACTTTTCCTAGTGAAATGGAATCTCTGTGGTTTTTATGTGTATTCTTTTTTCTTTACTTTATTTTTTGTACCAGGAATCAAAATCAGGACCTCTCACACTGGGCTGCTGAGCCTGGCACTTCTCAGTGTTGTTTTAATTTGTGTCTCTGCAGTGACCTGTGATGTTATTTGTGATTTGTGCTTCTTCATCTGAAAAGTGTCTATTCATTTCACATGCTCATTTTTAGACTCTGTTGGTTTGCCTAAAGCCTGTGTAACAGTTTTGGAAAGATGTCCTTTTTACTGTGCTGGGTCTTCCTACCTAAGAGCAAGGAATATCTTTCCATTTTCTTATATTCTCTTATATTTCCTTTTTCAGAGAGCTATAGTTTTCAATCCCGGCATCTTTTGCTTCTTTTGTTAGATTGATTCCTAAGTATTTCACACTGTATGTATTTGTGCATTTCTTTAAATTTTTTAAACAAGGTTGTCTAAGTGTTTATCAACTATATAAATTTAATTTAATCTTTCAAAGAAGCAATACTTCAATTCATTGATTTTGATTTTTGTATTGTTTCTTTAGTCTCAGTGGCAATAA